TTGGCCGTGAGGACACAGGGGCTTCCCTGAGCCACCCGAGCTGAATGGAGCCCCCACAGCCGAGCCCCACACAGAGCCCCTCTTGACCTTTCCCGGGGCCCAGGAGAGGGACCTGCAGACCTGCCCACTTCCCTACGGCGCTTTGGCGCCTGACCAGGGCTGGAGAGACGTCCCGCGTGCCAGGTCCTCATGCAGACTGCAGAGGCTGGACTGGAGGCCACCTTCCTGCTGGCCCGCCACACCAGAGGCCTGGTCCCTGCACCCGCTCTGGACTCTGACATCGGGGGCGCCGGAGGTTCCGGAGGTCAGACCCCGAGGCTCAGCTGGGTGGGTCCCCTCACGACGGAGCAAGATCCCGATTCCCAGGTTAAATTTCTTTCTGGGCGGGTGCCCTGGGGTGTTTGTTTGTCCTGCTCCCTGAGAGACACAGCTGGCAAAAGGTGATGGTAACACCCTGGTGAAGGTGACGGACACCTGGGTACAAGTGGTGGATGCACCCAGGTCACGGTAAATGAGGCCACTGTGTGAAAGTGCAGGCACGCCGGCCCTCAGGGGCAAAGAGGTTCCGGCGGGGCTAGAATTTTGCCTCAGCTGAAAACACCTGCCATGTTCTGAACAGCCGTGTCCCCCCCCAAAATCCGTAATGGTGAAACCTAACCCCCAAGGTGATGGTGGTGGCAGGTGGGGCCTTTGGGGTGATCGGATCACGAGGATGGAGCCCAACATGGGACTAGTGACCTTGTAAAAGAGACCCCAGAGAGCCTGCCACGTGAGGACACAGCGAAAACAGGAAGCTGGTTCTCACCAGACACCGAATCTGCTGACGCCTTGACCTCAGATTTCCAGCCTCCCGAAGTCTGTGTGTGTACAAGCCACACGGTCTATACTCTGTTCTAGCGCCCGAACCAGGACACCGCCTCCGAGGAGATATCCCAGAGGCAGGCCCACGGGCCTGTGGCAGGTAAGGTCCTCCTGCTGTGTGCCACCCAAGACCTGTGAGGCCGCCACCCCCGAGGGCCCTGTGGTAGGGTTCCTTCCCCTGAGCAGGGGGCGGCCGGTACCTGTCACAGGCCTCAGGACCCGTGGTGAGCCGTGGTGGTCCAGGGCGCCCGTCCCCCAGCCCTGGCCAAGCAGGCTTCTCCTGACTGCTGACTTTCTCCTCCTGTCCGTGACCCGCCAAGGCCTTGCCCCTGAGCCCGGGCTGTCTGGACCCCTCCCTGGCTACCAGCCTCGACAGGCCCTCCTCTATGACTGGACTCCATGCCGATGGCTGAGCTCTGCGGTGGCCCAACTGCCTGCCCCACTGGTCAAACCCTGAAAGGCCTCCCCTCCTAGGCTGAGGCTTGGGGGAACAGTGGGGCATCGATGCTGAGGTTCGGCACCTCCCCCCACCAGGCCCCTGCCCTGCCTACCCCCTGGGCGGTCAGTGCCAGCGACCTGGAATGGATGAAGTCCATCGGGGCACAGAAGGCCCCACACGTCACGCATTCCCCCGCTCCCCCTGCCCTGGCCACTCTAAGCCCTCACTGTTTGTCCCTGTATGCCCACCCCCACACATCTACAAGCGGAACCGCTCATGACCCGTGCGTCACACCTTCCACGTGCTGTGCCCACAGCTGGAACGCTCTTCCAGGAACCCCCTTGGGTTTCGCCTGAAGACGTAAGACGTTGCCTCATCTAGGAAGCCCTTCCAAATACTTCAGTGACGAGAGTAGGTCCTGATCCAGCCACGGTCATACTGGAGTGCCGCTCCCACCTCAAGAAGAGTGCAGGGGCTGGGACAGGCTGCCCCGGGGGCAGAGGATCGTTCCCAGGATTTGAGAAGCGACAGGAGTGTGAGGATAGTGGAGGAGAGTGAAATGAGGTGTGAGGAGGATGTGAGGAGGTGTCTGGAGAGTGGCGAGGTATGTTGAGGCGGGGGGGGGGGGGGGGGGAGGGTGTAAGGGAGTTGTGGTGAAAGGGCGTGTGATGGAGGCTGTTGGAGAGGTGTGAGAACAGTGTGAGGGGGTGAAAGGACAGTGTGACGCAGGGCGCTAGTGAAGAAGGAGGTCTCCTGGTGGAGGGAGTTTGGCCCCGGATCCCCCTGCCTCGGGCGGATGTGGTTACGGGCCAGGCGAGGGCACAGGCTGGTGTTTTTGGAGCCGGAAACGCGGCTGCATCTTGCACAACCCAGCGCTCCCTCCGGGGGGAGGGCGGTGTTGACCCTGCAGGTGTCCGGGCGAAGGCGCTGACGCTGTGGGATCAGAGCGTTACTCCAGTCCGCCCGGGCCAGCGTTCTGCGATGGGCTGAGGGGTCCTGCTGACCCCGTGTCCTCCCAGCCCTCGGCTCGACCCCAGGCCCGACCAGGCCCCCGGATCAGCCTCCGGCCGGTTGGGCCCTACGACCCGCTGTCACAAGGACGGGGGAGGGTCCCTCGGCGGTAGCCAGGTGGCGGCCGGGACCCTGAATCCTGTGCCGCCCGGAAGGGGAGGCCGGAGCCCCGTCTCCCCGCTGAGGGTCTGGGTGGGATCGGGTCGGGGCAGCTTCCTCGGCCCCCACACGGGTCTCCTTAAGTAAACGCTCGAGAGAGAGAGAAAAACCATCAAAACAGAGTGACCGGACCCAGAGGACACATGTTCCTGGGAGAGGTGGAGGGGCGGGCCTGGCAGAGCTACCTCCTCGCGAGGGGACGCTGCCCAGGGATGACCCATCTGTTCCTGTCACCTAGCCTCTGTCGACCACCTGCCAACCCGTCATCCTCGTCCATCCACCCATCACCTCTCTCTCGGGCTGAGCACACGCTGCTCTGGCCCCCGCGGCCCCGCGCTCCTGCACCACAGGCCGTGCCCCTCCCCCCTC